TATAATGAAAATAACAGACAGAACATCAATTAAGCACGTTGCACAATTTATCTTCATGGCATTCCAACAATGCACAAAAAACATTATTTGAATCATCCAATGAATGTCATTGTCAATATGAGTGAGAGAAAACATTATTTGAATCATCCAATGAATGTCATTGTCAATATGAGTGAGAGAAAAGATAACTACCAATCATGGATATCCATCAGACTTTGATTCTAGGTTTCTATCAATTCACTTGAATTACTTGGATGCTGAATCAAGAAAAAAATATCTAAATTAGAGTTTACCTTCTCTATCTGGGCATTTGTAGCCGGCTTCACACAAGGTACAGTTTGTAGCAACAGCACCACTATAGTATCCAGAAGGACATATTAAAGGTCCACCAGTGGTTGTCGGACAGTAATACGTTGGTAAGCATGCGGTACATGTCATCTGTCTGCCGAAGGAGTAATAGCCTGGGGCACACGGGGTACTGAAATAGTGGCAGATTAAAATAATATTGAAAACATAAATATGACAAAACTGAGACCAGTAAAATTGATTCCACCAACGTGTCAACATCAATAACACTTACAGCAACTCTATGACAACATTGACTGAAGCTATTCTTATAATAATATCCTAACTAGGACACTATACAGGGCCTGATCTCTCACTGGGTTTCATTTGTACTTATTTTGCTTATAGCTAAATGTTCTAAAGTAAAATATACCGGTAATTCAAATTTAATAGTACAATGTCTTGTTTTCTCCACAAACCAGTGAATATCTCTGCAACATAAATTGAACAAGTCATTTAAAATGACACAGTCCCCGTTAAATTTTTTAAAGTTCTCATTGTGCTTGTCATATTAAAACAGAGGGGTTGTCGCGAGCATGTCCTTGAAACTTAATGGGTTACAAGTGGCATATACAACAGATTGTTTATTTACATCAAAACATGTGTTCCGTGTAGTAGTAATATGGCCAAAAATAAAAACAGTCGTTATTCGGCCATCTTTGATCTGATTATGAAACACACTGATATGTATGATGTATTTGCCAAATATGAATGAAAATGGTACATAAATTGTGGAAATATAAGGCCAAAAAGTCAGATGGCTGTCAATCGGCCATCCTTGACCAGATTTTGAAACAAATTGTCATGGACATGCATCCTAACATGTATAAAGTACATGTATGTGCCAAATTTGAATGAAAACTGACAGAGCACATCCAAGATACCGCATAAAAAAAACAAAAACAAGATGCCTGCCAGTCGACCATCTTTGATCCAATTGCAAAATAAATCGTCATGGACATGTATCCTAACATGTATAATCTATGTACAAAGTTTGAATGAAAACTGACAAAGCATGTCCAAAATACAACATTTTCAAAAAACAAGATGGCTGCCAGTCGGCCATTTTGAATCAAATCGCTAAACCACTGCATGTGCAAATGTCCCACATAAGGTATTAGGCACATGCAAAGAATGAACGGGATCAGTCCACAGGATTCTGAAATATGACTCTGGACAGACTGACGCACAGATGGACGGACACACGAACGGACGGACAGACTCAGGAACTCACGGATGGTCGGGGACATGTATCCTAACATGTATGATGTATGTACTAAATTTGAATGAAAACTGACAAAGCATGTCCAAAATACAACATTTTCAAAAAACAAGATGGCTGCCAGTCGGCCATCTTTGATCCAATTGTGAAATAAATCGTCATGGACATGTATCCTAACAGTCGGCCATTTTGAATCGAATTGCTAAACCACTGCATGTGCATATGTCCCACATAAAGTACTAGGCACATGCAAAGAATGAATGGAATCGGTCCAAGGGATTCTGAGATATGACTCCGGACGGACGCACAGACACACGGACGGACGGACACCGAATTATAAGTCCCCGTTTTCGGACTTCGTCCGAATGGGGACTAATCAAGTGAATATTCCTCTCTTTACAGTAAGCAGCATAAATGATATTGGGAACAATTATCATGTTCAATTATATTGAATGTGGGTCCCATGCCACAGTCTATGCACAGAGCCGCATTCAATACAAGTCACATGCCACAGTCTATACACAGAGTCATATTCAATACGAGTCCAATGGAACTGTCATAACGCTGAGTCTTACTGTCTTATTCAATACAAGTCACATGCCACAGTCAACATGCTTTACTACGAGTCCCATGCCACAATCTTCACAACAGTGGATTTGTCAAAATTTGCAGTGGATGAAAAACATATTTTACACAAAGAATTGAACATGTGTTGCATGAGAGATATTCTTGTAAATCAAACAAGCATTGTGAGACTTTCTTGAATCTCAATTTCATCTCAACTAAGCACGCAAATCCCAAGCTAATTCAATTTCCCTTGAATGTACTTACGCTGAATCAGTTGAAGTGCTTGGACATTCATAACCAGCAGGACAGGCATAACAGGTAGACTGATTGCCAGCTGAATAGTATCCATCAGCACATGTAATCTGAGTATCACGATTAGTATATGGACACATACTGCAAAAATCAAACAATACAATATATACATCAATATTTATGGTGAATTTTATCATTAAGTTAAGAATAAAGTAATAATTATTATTGACCATACAAACTACAAGATGGACCACTAATGTATTGAATTAGAACTGTACGGAAATTACACAGCCCTTACACACTGCTAACTGTTTTCATTTTCGAAGGCTAAAAGTTTCTGAATTGTTTGGTGGTTTGTGTTGAATGTCAAATTCACACCTCTGTTCTTTTTTTACTTCCATGCTTGCAGCTTGATCTGTGTAATAATTTATGAAATAAGAATCCGGGCTTGGTCAATGTGTTTCCACCAAATAAAGTTTTAATACGATGTTATAATTATGACAATCATGCCATGGATCAAGCTAACTCGAATCCACTCTGAATTTATCTGTATGTGTGTCGATCTCGTTTATTTTTGTTATCCAATTAAAGGCAGCTTTTAACGCACTTGCCCTCGTCGTGACCTGACGCGTTCACCTATTTCAACAAAATTTCAATTTATTTCCACGCGACTGTC